AGACTTCCTTGGAAACATGATGCTCTACACAAGTATGTATGAATCTGAGATTAGTTCTTTGTGCGGTATAATTTTTAAGTGAAATTCTACCTAGATTCTGGAAGACAGAATCTAGGATTTGGACACCAGTCTTTAGTTGGAACACTGCCAGGACTGTGCTTTACCTTTGTGAGCAGTTTGAGAATTTTGGGTATGCTTTGATTTTGTGTACAGAATTTTTTTTTGGTAGATTTTGGTTGTGCTCAGCAAACAGTATACACTTGACTTCTAAAGAACCACTGGGGAAAGTCAAAGGTCAAACCTCAGCTGATTGCATGTGCTTGTCTCTGCTCAGTACTGAGACCTTGGGCAAGAGAGCTATTTCATCCTGTGAAGATGGCTGACTACGATGTAAAGAAGCCCAGATCTAAATTTCCTGACTTTTCCTGTTTTTCATGGTCGCTGTCTTGGTTGAGCTACCAGGACTGTGGAGGCCCTGGGAATTGGGTGTTGGCTTGGGAATATGTGTAACGTTCTGAGTGTGGGTTCCCTTATGAAGGACAGTGAAGGAGGGTTCTTCCTCAACAGCTTCCCTTCCAGTTTTACTTTGCATTCTACTTTACTTACATTTGTACTTTTAAATTACTTGTTCAAAATACAAGTTGTCGAAGAAAGCAACCCACTTGACTCCCTGGTAAGCAATTGTGGCTCGAGCAGCCATAGATGAGCCAGGGATAGAACCAGCCAGTGCCTCCTGAGATCCAGCCATGTTGGAACTTAGGACGCTGGGCAAGAAAGCAACCTGTTTGCTTCTCTGGTAAGCAGCCGCGAGCCTACCAGTGCGTGCGCTGTTAATCAAACATCCTGTCACCGTCCTCCCCCGCCCCTCCCGCTCTTAGCAACTGGGAGCAAGAGACCTGAGCATCTCTTAGGAGGATGACTGTATACAATATAGCAAATACGGGGATTTCCTTCTATCTTCTTTTTGAAGGCAAATACTTTTTTCACTGTTTTTGCTTTGTTCTGATTAATTGTATTGCTCTATTCAGTATTCTGTTTGATAGGCTTTATACTGTTCATTTTTGGTTTGATTTTGCTATACCTGACTGAATGGACAACTATTGTGACGATAATGAGAATATAGTATGGGACCTATTACTGTTATCCTGGTATTCTGCTGTGAAGTTCTGTATCAGTTTCACTGCATTGTCTTGACTGGCTTTATTCTGCCTTGTTTTGTTGTATTTTACTACCTTCAAAATTAAAAAATAAAATACAAGTTATCTCATGGAAGAAGTAAGAAATACTTTTGAAGATCTCACCATATGATTGTGGTGTTCATAGTTTAAAAGTAACTGTAATATTGATGACATGTGAAGAAACAAAGAAATATTCAGGTGTGATTATTTGCTTTTAATTTATTCTAACTGTGTATATCTACAAAATCATTGTGGAGATGAGGAAATGAGCTGTGTTTACCTGTCCTGTGTTTCTCAGATGTCATGTAAATACCCACAAAGTTACCATAGTGCAGTTTTGCAAGGTGTTTAGTCCTTAAAAATGTAATCAAGCAAAATCTTTGGTTCTCAACATTTGGAATGAATTTTTTGAGATTAATATATCCTTACTATGATGATAAAAAGTAGTTTGAATTTAGGAGCATAGCTCAGCTGCACAGTACCTGCCTGACAAGTGCAAGGTCCTGAGTTCCATTCTCCATGTCAAAACAAAACAAAACAAAACAAGAAAAGGAAAGGAAACAATAAAAGATAAAATATTATTCAAGGTTTGTGTTGACAGCCTAGTGATCATAGCATTGTTGTGAAGTTAATATTTCAGACACTTCACTGCCTTACTCCACTGCCTCTGGGTTTGTGTTATTTCAAAGTGGTTTTTGAGATTCCCAGGTGTTTTAAAATATTAGAGGTGGGTTTTTTTGCGTTAGTGTGCAACTGATAATGAACTAATCTTCTTGCTGGGATAAATATAAATGTGCAGACATTAAAATTTCAATATCTGTACAAATGTTCATATATATTGACAGTTTGCTATTTAAATATTGTGTGTCAAATTTATTCTCAAATTTCGCCAAGATTTAATATTAAAACAATATAAATATACTTAGTGTGTTGGAAACATTTCATCATTCTGTTTTGGGCAGTGGATAAGAGTTTAAATGTGGTAAACTCTCCACTTGATGCAGCCATTTTTTGTCTTATTTTACCCCTCTCATTCTTTGGCGATGTTTCCTCAGTTTACCGTGTGTGATTTTTCCATAAATAGTGTTGTCTTAGTTTCCCTTCATATAATTTTGTTGAAGTATTATAGAAGATGCACAGGGATATGTTTTGGGAATTCTTTGTCTCCTTCACAAATGCTAATGTCTGGATGAAGAAAACAGTACTTTCTCATCAACTCTATTGGTCATGAGGTTCAAGATTTTTCAGGTATACTTAATCGTGGGCCTAGAAGTGTAATAGCACAATATATTCTCTGGACATTGGAAAGAAGTTACTGGTCTGTTGATTTTAGCAAACTCTAAAGGAAAGGAGATGAGTGTGGAGAGGGTATCGGGTTCTCCCTCCTTGCATAAGTCTGACTGTGTTCTTACACACCTCAGTTTTCCTTGATTTTTCTCAGGACTTGGTGTTCTTCTATACTCACTATTTTTAGTTAGATGTGTTTTATATATTTTAGAGATTTGTGTCATTGATCTTTACTCTCTCTATGAAATCCTTGTATTTTGTATATGGCAGATATTTTAGTTTTGTTTTATTTATTTCCCATGGCTTTCATAGACTTTAATTTGTCCCACGAATTCTGCTGACTACTTGGTTCGCTGAGAAGACTTCTCTTTTCGTTATACCATCCTAAGGTTTCGAGATTATCTTTCCCTTTTCAATGTGCAATTTTTGTAGATAAAATAGAAAATATGCCATCTGTATATCCAAATGCATATCTGTTTGTCTCTGAACATAAATGAAATATATGTGATTTCTTTCACATATTTTTATCACGAACTGAAGCACGAGTCACTGTTGTGTGTACAATGGAACCATAGAGTGCTGCCTTTTTTTCCTGAGATCCGTTTGTCATTCTCTGCATGAGTCACAATCTGTAACAAAGGTGTAACATGAATGTGTTTTATGTTAAGTGCGGTTTGCAGGTATCACCTTGCTCATGAGGTGGTGAAAGCTGTCATTCTTCTGTTACACTATACAGTTGTCATTTTTTGAACAGAGCAAAGGAGTGACTTGTAAGTGGCACAGTTTATTTCAGGTTGCCTTTAGTGGGGTTTGTCTCTCTCAGTGTCTCACTTTAAATCTTGACTGGCCTTGAATTTACCGCCAATCTGGAGCAGAACTTTGAACTCCTGGCAGTCATCAAACTCATGGAAATCCTTGCATAGTAGGCACCTAAGTGCTGGCAGTGCAGGCAGTTATCATCATACCTGGCAGTTTTCCTTTGTAATTAGTGCCTATTCACTTTGTGATTTTAATGTGTTTCATATGTATTTCATTCATTCATTCATTCATTTTAATGTATTTCATATATATTCTATATATGCTTTCCCTCATTAATTCAGACAGTGGTAGGGTTTCTTTTGTGTGATTGCAGTGTGATCATTGGCACCTATGCTATAAGTTAATAAGCTACTTAAATCCTATTTTATTATCCATATACTTGCTCTAAGAATACTGGGTTTTCCATTGATTTTTTTTTTGTCTTTTTCCTTTTTATTGGTACCGGGGATCGAACTCACAACTGCCTGCTTTTAAGGCAGGCGCTTATGCCACTGAGCTAAATCCCCAGCCCCCTATTGATATTTTAATATTAGTCATAAACCTTCTTTCTTTTCTTACTGCTGCATACTGATAACATTCATCTTGGGATTTTGTACCTGTGCATGGTGTATTTTGCGGCTTCCTTTTCGTCTACCCTCCTTGCTTCCCTTCAGACTTTCTTCCCCTCTTTATTTAGAAAAGTGTTTCTTATTTGTCTTTCTAAGCGTTTTTACTTGATCCTTCTTTCTTTCCCCTAAACCCCATTGTTCCTCTGTTTACATATTTTGTCAGGCACCTCAGAACACACACTTTGAAGGTACATTTCTTCTCACTATTCCCGTTCTTAGTCTCTCCACAAAAGAATTAAAAGCATCACCCCACAGTGATACATATATATACATTCATGTTTACATGGGCAAGTTTGAAATAGATAAATCTTGAAAGTAGCCCACATAATCAAATGTTGAATGGATGAAGAAGATATGGTTTTTTTTTTTAAAGAACGGAGGACTACCGTGCCATAAAGAAGGATAATTTGAGAAATTGCTTGCTAAATAGTTGTACTTTTAGACAACAGTATCAAGTAAAGTGGACACAGAGGAGTAAATATCACTTGGTTTGTCTGATATGAAAACCGAAAGAGTAAATAATAAAACCAGGTGTGTTGGTGCACACCTATAATCCCAGCACTCAAAAGGCTGAAGCAGAAAGATTGTTGCAGGTTAAAGACAAGCCTGGATACACTAAATTAGTTCAAGACCAGCTCAAACTGTATAAAGAGGACCCTGTCTCAAAACATACACACATAAATAAGGAATGAAATGTGTGTATGTTGTACCATGACTAACTTTTACCAAAAAAAAAAAAAAATTCAGTTTTCCAAAATGCTGCGTATGTATAAGAAAGAATGTTTCGATTATATGAAAAATCGTATTTGAAAAGAGATGTAATCTATTGTCTGTCTGCATTAGACATTTTTTTGCCTCCTTGTTTTGGAAATTGTGATTTGGAGGCTACTATGATGAGCTTCACTTTCAAAACAGTCCTCAACTACAACTTCGTAACTCTATCCGGCATCAAGTACTTCGTTTTGCTGGGGCTGTAGCAGAGAGAAGTAACCTAGACATGGAGTTTTTATTTGAAGGAACAAATGTAATTCAGCTTTTACAAAAAGAGTTTAAGTTCTCAGGGTATGTGTGCGAACCTTCCTCAGGAAATATGTGTGTGATTCTTTAGGAGGCAGTGACCTTGGAGGATGTAACCGTGAACTTCACCAAGGAGGAGTGGGCTCTGCTGAATCCATCCCAAAGGAAGCTCTACAGAGATGTGATGAGGGAAACATTGATGAATATGAATGCTCTAGGTAAGGATGACATCATCTTCTCATATACTCAGTGGAGAACTGTGGTTCATCCAGATGTGTACAGATTCATTAAATAGAACAGGAAAACATTTTGAACAATACCTCAGTCCTGTTAACATTATACAATGAATCTTAACTGCTAGCCGCTAATTTTTATATAATGATATAGTGACTGTATTTCTTTGGCTACAATTCAGGAAGGACTTGGGAAAACCAGCAAATGGAAGAGGAATACAGAAATTGTTCAAAAAAGCTGAGGTAATTGGCTTTTGTAAGGAAAAGCAGTACTTCTCAAGAGGGTATGTGATCAGATATTCCAAGAATCTTTACAAATAAGTTATATTTATATTTATTTAATATCATATATGTTACTTATACACATATAGGTTGATTATGTATAATCTGATCATTGAATACAAAGATATTCCATATTAGGAAACTAAATCAGTAGTGACATGTAACAAGAGACAGTACCTCATACATTGGTATAAAAACATTCTTTCATGACCAACATCATGAATTATGAAGTTGCATTTAGGTATTATGTAGACATATATGAGAAGAATAAATCTTAACTTTGGCAGGAATGAATATATATATATATAATCAGATATACATTATGTAAAGAATTGCTTACCTGGAAGCAGTGTTCCAAATGCACACGAATGCTAGTGTATTAATAGATGCTGGAAACATCTGCCAGAGGATTGTGATCCTTCGTGTTTTAAAATTCTTACAAACACCCTTATGCATTATTGGTAGGAATATAAAACAGAATGATTTTTATATTCAGTATATACCTATCAAAAAATAAAACTGAAAGTGCATTAAATCCATTCAAAACTCCCTGTGCATATTCTGAAAGCATTTCAATGTATGGGATCTTAATTATACATACATACATACATACAAACTTATGCTCAAAGCAGGATCTACTTTGGGTATTCACAGTAGGTGACTTCTGGAAATAATTCACAATATATAAACTGGTAAGAATCTAGATGCCTGTAACTGTGTTCTTCGGAAGTGAGGAGGTGGTATAGGCTCAACATTGTTTTGCCTTCTTATATTCTGAGCAGGGTGACTGCATGAAGTTCACCCTGATATCAGATGAGTGATCAATGAAAATTTCTCTCAAAATAATAAGTGAAAAAGCTAAAAATGTATTTTATTTCAGACTCTCCTTTGTTTCTCAGCACTAAAGAAATATATAATGCTATATGTATTCACTGAAACAAGAAACATAACTTATAGCAAAAAACAAAAGAGAGAGACTCCACCTCACAATGTTAAATGCAAGAAATTAGACATACAAAGTAAATTATCAAGTGTTTCTTGGTATATGAATTAGGAAAACATACATTTGGGAGCAAAATTAAGAAATAAAAGCAGGGGAGAATGTTGGGGGAAGGCCCCCAAAATGATCAATATGTTATACACATATGAATCAATGACTTAAGTGAAACCTGATCTTATTTATTGCAAAGCCACAGCAATTAGAAATTCCCAATGAACATCATCCTTTGGGAAGTGTGCATTGCAGAGACATCCTGCAGAGATTTCAGCTAGTTTTTCCTGAAAATTTCTTAGCAGAAACAAACCAGAACTTGTGCTGCTAAATTATTGAATAGAGAGATTTTTATCGTGATTAATGTTTTGTTTCTTTACAGACATAAAGAGGTAGCAACATGGTATCAATGCAAAACTTCCAGTGAACATAAAAACATATACCTTTAGACTTCAGAAGTGAATGTGGACATGAATCAATCTGCTTTAGAGCCAGCCCGAAGTCTCGTTTGTGGAGAGCCCTTTCTTGGGCACTTACCATTACATGTGCCCATCTTAACCTCATCCTGGAGAGAAACTACATGAGAATGTGGGGTTTGATGAGAAGCTGAGTAAATGTAATGAACATGGAAAACCATGCAGTGATTTCCAGTCCTTTCAGAAGCCTGCAAGTACAAAGAATGGAGAGAAACTCTATCAACATGAGTAATGCATGAAGTCCTACTCTGAATTTAGTGAAAGAGCTCACTTTGAAGAGAAGACCATTGTTGATCAGGAAAATGTGAAGGCCTCCAGCACCCCCAGTGGTCTTCTAATCGCTGAAAGAATTCAGGCTGGGAAGAAACCATATGATAGCAAGCAATATAAAAATTTATTCCAGACTCAAAAGTGTAAAATTCTTGAAAGGATTCACATGGAAGAGAAATGTTATGTGTGCAAGCAGTGTGGGAAGACATTCACTACCCACAAATCTTGTCAACCACATGAAAGAAATCACACAGGGGTAAAACCTTATATGTGCAAGCACTGTGGGAAAGCATTCAGTACAAAGTCTTGTTGCAAAGTGCATGAAAAAACTCACAGTGAGGAGAAACTTTATGTGTGCAAGCAATGTGGAAAAGCATTCACTACACAAAAGTATTGTCAAAGACATGAAAGAACTCACACAGGCAAGAAACCTTATCTGTGCAAGCAATGTGAGAAGGCATTCACTACACATTATTGTCAACGACATGAAAGAAGTCACACTGGAGTGAAACCTTACATGTGCAAGCATTTTGGAAAGGCATACACTACACATGATAGTTGTCAAAAACATGAAAGAATTCACACTGGGGAGAAACTTTATATGTGTACACAATGTGGGAAGACATTCACTACACAGCGGTATTGTCAAGAGCATGAAAGAAATTGCCCTGGGGAAAAATATGTGTGTAAGCAATGTGGGAAAGCATTCCATTCAGACTGTCATTGTCAGGTACATGAAAGAACTCACAGTAGGGTGAAACCTTATGTGTGCCAGCCCTGTGGAAAAGCATCCAGTACAAAGTCTCATTTTAAAGGGCATGAAGAAACTCAGTGAGGAGAAACCTTATGTGTGCAAGCAATGTGGAAGAGCATTCACTATTAGGAAAGCTTACAAAAGACATGAAAAAACTCATACACAGAAGAAACCTTATGTATGCAAGAAATGTGGAAAGGCACTCATTAAAAACAGTAGTTGTCAAAAGCCTGAAAGAACTCACACTGGGGAGAAACCTTATGTGTGCATGCACTGTGGGAAGGCATTTAGTACACACTGGTATTATGAAATGCATGAAAGAATTAACATAGGGGAGAAACCTTTTGTGTACAAGCAATGTGGGAAAGAATTCGCTACACACCAGATTTGTGAAGTACATGAAAGAACTCACACTGGGGAAAAACCTTATGTGTGAATGTAGTGTGGAAATGTATTCACTAAACACCAATCTTGTCAAATAAATGAAGTCACATAGACAAGAAACCGCATGCATATCAGTCATTGGGAAAAAGATTTGCTAGTAATTTCTCATTTTGTATACATAGATTTCATTCTGAAGAGGAACCCTACATATATCAACACTATAGGGGAAGAATTTAGTGAGCACATTTTTTATCAACTGCATGAAAGTCACTGGAGTATGATCCTATACTTTTAAGGCTATTTTGAAAAAGTGGTAAAAATTCCTCGTGTAGTGGAGACCTGTATACATTTAAATAAAAATTGGATGTCAGTATTTCTTCATGAATATTTCAGAAAATATACTCTGAGATGGAGATCTTTTGAAAAGCCAAACTCTGTATCTGTAGTCTTTACCAGAAACAATGTTTTTTTTTTTTTCTCTGTCTTTTTCATTTTTATCAGTACCGAGGATCGAACTCACGACCACCTGCTTGCAAGGCAGGTGCTTATGCTGCTGAGCTAAATCCCCAGCCCCTCAGAAACAATGTTGACATATATTTTTGTGTAAGCCAATAGTTGAATTTAGCATATAGTATTTTCTGATGAGATAAGATGAAATGACATGTATTTCTATCTTACAAATAGGGTTAGTATTTGTTTTTTTACAATGGTGAGGGACAGTCCAATAAATTTTACGAATAATTTTTAAGTGAGATTTTCTGATCCGGCCCGCGGATCAATCCGTGGGGTGTACCTGGAGGGGGAACGGGGATTAAAATAAAAACATGGGGGAGACAGAGACTGAGGCAAGTTGAGAGAGTCCAATCAAGCCCCGTTTTATTCCGGAAGTGATTACATCTTTTATAGGCCAAGGGTGGGCTGGTGGGACAGGAAGAGGCTATGGGGATGAATACAACAAGGTCATCGTCACATCCAGGTATGTGACGTAAGCAGGAGAGGATTATGGTTAATGTAGGCAGACGCATTGTGCCCATAGGAGAGAGAGAGGCAGGGAGGCAGCAATGGGGCTGTCGTGCGGCTCCCTACAATTTCCTACCAGCTTTAATTTTAATTTCCCTGGTGTGTATACCTCATATTCTATATATAAAAGATAACTGATTGTTGATATATATGTAAATGAATACATATTTAGAGATGTAAGCATTTTTTTTTTATTGGTGCTGTTGGTCAAACTCATGATGTGCTTTTGAGGCAGGTGCTTGTGCTGCTGAGCTAAATCCCCATGCCCCTAAGCATATGTTTAAAGTTCATTTTTTTACACAGAACTTGTGAATCACCAAATGTTGTATTTTTCATGTCCTAACTAGATACCTACTTATATCCCAACACAATTATGTAAAGCACATCATTTCACCTATTTTGCTTTCATGTTCAAATCAGTATCTTGATTTATAGAAAATGTTTTCTTACCATCAGTATCTTACATTTCATGCTTATATTGTTATAACTTGAATTTGGTAGTTATTTTACCACAATTTATACAGCAGATGATTCTGCTCTGCATTTCTTTTTTTTTTTTTTTTTTTTTTAATCGGTACCGGGGATCGAACTCATGACTGCCTGCTTGCAAGGCAGGCGCTTATGCCACTGAGCTAAATCCCCAGCCCCACTGCTCTGCATTTCTGATTGAAACTACATGAACTGCACCCTGTGTAATAAAGGATAGTATATTCCTAGAGAACCAGTTTTAATGTGAGATATTCCATTATATAAGCATGTACAAGACTGTCTTGCAATGCCAGCACACACACTCAGATGTGGAACAGTGCAAACAGTCTGTCTGTGCATTGGATATCCAGACAGTCCAGTTCTGGTCCTCGAGCCCACTATTGTGCCCCCTTGAATCTGTCAGAACCAAAGTGTCCGTGCCAGAAGACTGAATGGTCTGCCCTATAGGCTGAAAAGTCAGTGCTGGAAGCCAGGAAATGGCTTCCATTGTGACAGTAAATAGTGGAGTTCCTCCACAAAAACACATGGGAGGCCTTTCTTTGTTTTTTCTTTTTTCTTTTTAATCGGTACTGGGGATCGAACTCACAACCACGCATTTGCAAGGCAGATGCTTATGCCGCTGAGCTAAATCCCCAGCCCTTTATTGATTTTTATGACATCCTTTCCACCTTCTTTTCTAGGGTAGGTATTCCCCATCCATCATTTGCTGGACAAACTCAGTTGGGCACCTAGTACTCATTTAACAGCCACTATCCACACCCCGAAACAAACACAGCTACACACATTTCTTTAAACAATAGTCCAGATACAAAGCTGATTTTATAATTATACCTAACATGACTGTTCTGCCTACAAAAGGAAATGTATAACTCCTCTACCCAGAATAGAAGTTTTTTGTTTATAATCCTTCTAGCATTTCATAATTTGAACACTATACCTGGTTTAATAAGACATAACCAGTATTAAGATTGTCCACATACTCCATTGGAAGATGTTAGGAAAGAACTATTACAGTCCTTATTTCTGTAGCTGATCTTGGTGCCATAACTTGTATTTAGAACTGCTTGTAAGACCTGTTCTGCATTCCCTGTCTTTGAAAAACAACTCAGTTGGTCTTGGTCCTTTCCCTGATATGGGAAGCCTTACTTTCATTCCTTAAGTTTCTTATCCTTATGACATTCTGCCTGGATTCGGTAGTTAATAACAGCATTTGATTTTAAACTTAATAACTTTAATAATAGCATAGCAATACAAAGAACACCCTACAATCTCCTGCTCTCCAAGTGTAGTTTCTTTTCTACATTTGGAGTAACAGTCTAACTTTCCTTGAGAGTCTGGGTCAGCCACCTCTGTAAGCACTGTTAACTCCTTTTTTAGTTTGTTTCCTCAGAGTCAGGTCAAAATGACCAGGGGGAAAGTGTTCCAATTCACAGGTATTGCTGTTTCCTGTTGCAAATCATCTCCCCACCCCCATTTAACTTAAGACTTTGTTGTAAGCCATGACAGCGTACAGTCATGAGAACAAGGTGAAAAATTTTACTAACAAGACCACTCTGAGTAACTGTGTTGTACCATCCTTACTTCCACCCCTTTATTCCTTGAACCACAGATCCTGGCTTTGAGAGACACGGTACCTTATCGTGGATGCCTACTGACAGGCTAAACACAGCTTTTGATGACTGTTGCCCATCCCTGGAAACTATTGCTACCTAATGAGTGCTGCAAATGTGACTTTAAAGACCATTCCAACTTTCAATTAATCCTGCTGCTTCTGGATGCTGAGGAGTGTGATAAGACCATTGAATTCCATGAGAATGAGGTCTGTCACCTCACTTCTTTGAGGGTCAAGTATATTCCCTGTCAAATCAATGCTGTATAGAATTCCAGAATTGTGGAAAAGGCACTATGTGAATCCATGAATGGGAGTTTTGCAAGAAGCACAACATGTAAGAAAGGTAAAATTATATCCTGTAAAAGTATTCAAGGAAAGATAAAGCACATCCCTTCATGACGGAAGTAATTCAATATCATCAAGCTGCTCACCACAGGTTGAATGCTGATCACGTTAGGGAATAATGTCATAGAAAAAGGTGATCTATGCTGCTGGCACATGGGCCTACAGCAGGGACTATAATGAGAACAGCCTTAGTGAGTCAGAGTCCATGTCACTGAGCACAGATAACCTCCATTCCTGTCAACATGCCCACTCTTCTCTGAGCCCATTGGGCACTGAGAGGGGCAAGTTGGAGAGACAAGTTGACTATAATGTACAGAACTGATCACCTTGTTCAACTGATTGTGAAAATCCTCTTCTGCTGAGACTACATTTTGGTGAGCATTTATATGACATACAGATATATTTACATCCTTCATCCCTAGATGTCTGAATAATTTTCCACTTAGTTCCTCCACTTTTCTGAACACCCAACTTGATCATCAACTATAGCATATGAATCACTATACAGTTGTGTATCTGGCTATTTTTCCTTGGCAAATGTACTGCCAGGTACAGTGGCTAAAGTGTGGTACCATTATCTTTCAGACATTTATTAGTAACCTTGGTTGTTGGAATTGTGACACACGCATTCCAAATTCTCTAAGGGCCAGCAGATTATTGGGTTTTCAGTGATGTAAGGTGTCCCCCATACAAGTGTAACACTGTTGAAAAAACATCATACTATTTTCTTTTTCTGAAGTGTGTATACATTGGTTGGACTATGTATGTTGAATATGTATTAATATATAAATATGTAAAATATAAGTAATGTATACATATTTCATAGTGATTTTATACTTAGAAATGTGTACTTTTGTATATGGAATGTTAATTTTGCAAAACTAAATTTTCTAATCTGACAGATACGGATGATTCACTTGACATTCATTCTGAAAAGAATAAAATGATAAAGAAATATAAAATTTACATGCAACAATTATGAATACGGTGGGGGGATTTATAGCTCAGTGGCATAAGCGTCTGCCTGGCAAGTGCGAGGTCGGGAGTTTGATCCCTGGTACCACAAAAAAACAACAAAAAAATTTAATAACAAAATTAGATATTAATTACAAAATGAAAATATAAGACCAGTTAGCTTCAAAAGTAAACTCTGCTAAATATTCCCAGACCTGAATTCTGTCTTCTCCTAGTTTGTATCTTTCCACCCTATCCTTACCTCAGACTCACATGTCCACTGTGGTCTCCTAGGCCCATTGTACTGCCCTGCATTTGTCTTCAAAAGCACTGAAATTTTAAAGTCATCACAAAACCACCCAAGAGTTAGTGTGATAAAGAAGGCAAAACTAGGAACTATTTTAGCAAATTTTCTAACAAAAAGAGCCTGGCCAGTAAAATTAAAAAGTAACCATAACAATGGTCAGTGTCATGCATGGCCCAGGCTGGACCATCCTGTCCTGTGATTGAGTTCAACAGTGGTCCAGGTGTCACTTGAAGGTGTTGTGCAGATGGTTATCATGGTTTGGGTCTAAAATGACCCCAAAGTCTTATATGTGGAGGTGGGGGCCTGGTCTGAGGGTCTGGTGTGACCTGGAAAAATGTGCACTGGTCACAGACTCTTTGCATCTGTCTGCTTCCTGCTGCCACAAGGTGAGCAGCTTTTCCTCGCCAGGCTGTTTCACCCTGACATTTCTACCTTGGAGCCAGGACACGGACAGTGGATGCTGAGAGGTCCTTTGGCACTGGCCAGGTCCCACAAGGGGTCATTTCCTGAGCTACACCCGAGTCCGTGGCCAAGGGCATAGACCAGGCCAGAATCTGGGATTCTGACCAGAGGACACACAGTCTGAACCTTCAAGGGGAAGGAGATACACAGGAGAGGTGGGGTGGCCCTGGGATGGAGGGCATGGATTTGCAAGGACAGAGGACACCATCGCCACCCCCACCCCCGCCATGGCTGAGCCTGCTGTGAAGCGCTCTCCTGAGGAGGGACTGACACGACTGCATTGCAGAGTGCAGGACGTCACCCTGGCCTCGTCAGCCCACTGGATTTCACCTGAGTCCTCGGATGTGGGCATCTGGGGACCTTGGAGATCTCTGCTCAGAGTCTGAGTGGAAAGGCCTCACCTGGCGCCCTGAGCTCCCTCAGAGTCTGAGCCCCATTACAGTGGATTCCTTTGTGTTA